AGGCTTGCCAGTTTGGCCTCCCTCCCTGTCATTTACCAGCTTGGAGGTCTGCCTTCTCTCTGAAAGCCAAGAACACTTAGCTGGCTGCCAGCACCTTTCCTAGTCAGTATAAAAGCTTCTCCAGGTGTAAGATGCCAAGTTGAGGGTTTCTGTCTGAAATTTCGTCCTGGCCATGACATGAAAGCAAGCTTTAAACCTAGTTCATATGGAAGTGGCCTTCCTGACAAAGACACATTCTCAAACAGTATTAAGCACTCTTCAAGAGGTTAAATTTGTGATACAAAGAATTATCCACAGGGGCCAATACCCTGTCTGTCGTATTGGTAATGCACTGCTCAAAAGTAGTATCCCACATGGTGACCACTATTCACATATCTGGCCCATTTAACTTGGAACACACCAGGCTTGTGCCCAAGTACCCAAAGTACCATGGCTCTGTGGACTAGAGGAAAGGATTGCAGCATGACCAGACCCTGTGGAGGGTGCTTCCTCCAACTCATTCTCATGTACATGTACTCTACCTTGAAGAAAGAAAAAAATGATGAAAAAAGAAAAAAAAAAAAAGATCTATATAGTCAAATTAGTAAACTCAAAGCAAAAGTTAAATATTTTGCATAATGAATAATTCATTATTTTGCTACTGAAAACATTATGAGTTGGTTTTGTACAGTAATGCTAAGGTATTTAGATGTAACAGACTTAACATTTTTTTCCTAGCTCTTGCAGAAGATTCTTGAATTTATGTGGTTGGTTTAAGCCAAGAACCCAGGCTGGGTACTTTAACAAGAATTTTCACACACACACATGCATGCGCACACACACGCACGCACACACACACACAAACAAAACAAACAAAACAGGCACCATTTATTACAAAAAAGCGAAAGTGACAAAACAGACCTTAGAGCAACTTACTTTATATTAATTGTGCGTTGTTGATCTTCCTGCACTCGAGTTGGGCATCTCCAGTTAGAACAGTAACTCTCTTGAATGGTAGACATGAGATTCTCGAGATTTTTTGTGAAATTATCATGCTCATTCCCAAATAAATCGATTATTAATGAAGCTTTATGAACTTCAGATTTGTATTGCTGTTTTTCCATCTTGTCCCAAATCCAAAGTAGCTTAACTGTTGTAAAACTGTAGGTGTCCATTAAATAAAGAAAACAGTCTACAAACTCTCTACCAAAATGTAGAGAGAGTTCCCTAGGGAAATTTTCATTTTCATTAAGAATGACATATAATAACATCAAGAATCCATCTATGGTGCAGGTATTTTTCAGTCTGATTTCAACATAGAGTGGTGTACAGGATACTGCTTTGCGGCCAGCTTTGATAGTAAAAACACCTCCCCAAGGAAGAACAGGCCTCCAGAATGATCGATCTTGGTTATAGTTATTTTTAATTGATGCTTTGATCTCTTCAAACAGTGTCTTCATCCTGCATTTTCAAAGTTAAAGTACAATGTGTAAGCTTCTGACTTGATATGTTAAATGTGTAAGTTTAAATGAAAGTAAATCTACAGATTCAAATTAAATTTGCTTAGATGGCTTTGCAAAGTAACAGTAAAACTTTTTTAAAAATTAAAAAAATTGTTTTCAAAGAATTATTATTTATTATTGTTTTAAAATTTGCTATAAGGTACATGTGCTGACCAGAGAGAGACGGAGGAGATACAGTGAGAAAGTCAAAGTGAGAAAGCAAGCCACCAGGTCCGGGACGCAAACTGCAGCTGGCCATTTGGAAGTCCAGCACCTTTAACCACCATACCACCTGCTGGCCCCCAACAATAAAAAATAGTTTAATGTGCCTTTTAGACAATATGCATGGTCTCTTGAAAGAGATGCAAAATTCTAAGAAACACTAGAATAAATAAATCCTAAATGAAAATAAAACTGAAGATACAAACTAAATGTAGTTATGTGTATCCCTAATGTAAACGTCCTGCTTCCTCCAAAAAACAAGCTATGCTTTATTTTCTTGTTATTAGGGGCACTTAAAAGTGATCTAATCACTCCTCATATGACGGCCTAGCTGTTTAACCAGACTTACTACCAGTTCTCCATCTATGGTCTCCCTTTCTCAGTCTTTGTCTTGTCCCTGTAGTGGGTTAGTATTCCCTACAGGAAGCATTCCCAGTCACAGGAGACTGCATTGCTAATTTGTACTTCATTGTGCAACTATAATAGTATTCAGAATAAGTAAAAGTGCTTAGGCTGGATTTATATTATGCTGTGGTGTATCTTGTCACTTTCTGGCGTTTTTCTAAAGTAAATTACATTGTTCTAGTGTGGTGTTACATGGTATCTCTCAAGAATACATATCCTATGGAGCCATGACACACCATAGATATTTTCCTTTAACTCCTCTTATTGACCAATTTGCTTAATGACCTAGTCCTAAGAACATAACTCAGTCATTAAGTGAGGGGCACCTGTAGTGGGGTCCTTAGTCGGGGTACAGAAAAACAACCATTTGGTGGCCTTTAAATGAATTATACTCCACATCTTATCTATGCCATTAAAAAACTGTAATAACTCCTGACCCTAAAGACTAAAGCTAATTCTGACATTTAGCTTTGAAAGACAACACATGAGGAGTAATCATGAGAATGTAATTGAATAGTAGCATAGTTAATATTTCTATTCGCTTTGTGATTTTACTTGCAATTTTAAATTTGCTAAATATTCTGTAATTTTAATGTAGAGGCAATACTATGACGATCTGATTCAGAACCAGATAAATATCCTGATTCTCCCTTCTGCATATGTTGGGAATTAAATGAAATATCCTTCCCTAAACCCTAAATGTAGTTAAATATTTTGCTTTTTAAGCCACCAACAGTATTTTTTTTTTTTTTTGGAGAGATTTTCACTATAGGGCGCGTGCGCTCGCCAGACAGACAGAGAGAGACATTAGAGACAGAAAGTGAGAAATCACCCCCCAGGGGGGATGGTCACGCCGCAATCCCTTCTCCTCCATTCTCCTCTCAGGATCTTGGGCACGCACGCACACGCGCCCGGAGTGAGTTTTAAGCCACCGGGTCCGGGACGCGAACCGCGGTCAACTACGTGGGAGTCCAGCAACATAGCCATTACGCTAACTGCTGGTTCCCAAGCCACCAACAGTATTTTTATAAACATGTTTGTGTCATACGTATGTCAGCTAAAGCAAAATGTCTACACTAAAAACATTGAATTGTTTTTTAACGTGTTGCTTTTATGGAAAAGTATATTTTTATAGAAAGAAATAGGCAGAGGAAGTGAGAGACGGAGGTCAGTGTATTTATGTTGACCATCTTTTTCAAGACTCATGTGCTTACAAGCGCAATACAAACCCAACACTCAATACTGCAGATCTGTGTGCTTTATTCATGTGAGAAACTAAGTTCAAAACTATTAGCAGGGTAAAAATTCAGCTCTACAATATATCAAACACAGGTGCACACAGTGTTTTCAGTTTTAAGATACTATAGACTCTAATATATTTAATACTGTTTAATCTGGAGTGTAGATGTTTACATAAGGACTAATGCCTCTGCTCAAGTCAACCTTTTAGGAATAAGAGGGTGTGGCAAATCTGGAGTCTTGGGAAACATTTATTTATGGTTTTTGCCATAGGGTGCATGTGCTTGCCAGAAAGAGACAGTCAGACAGAAAGAGGGAAAGTGAGAAATCACTTTGTGGTGTGGGGATGGCCACATCACAATCCCTTCTCCTCCCTGCATTTTGGCCACTCTCACATATGCACCCTACATGATTTCCAAGCCAGCAGGTCCAGGACTAGAACCGCAGAGTCTCAACCACTAAGCCACCAAACTCAGTTTTTTAGTAGACACTGACACATTTCATTTACAAAGATTTTAAATAGTCATAAGGCATTCAAATACTTGAAAAATGAAAATAACTTTCTTCATCGTTTATTTCTGTTGAATTTTAACTAGCAAGACAAGACATAAGGTTGCTTAGAGCACTTCATTCTGAATTTCTTTTTTTTTTTTTTAATTCTTTTTTTGGAGAGGTTTTCACTATAGAGCGCGGGTGCTCACCAGACAGACAGAGACAGAGAGACAGAGAGACAGAAAGCGAGAAATCTACCCCCCAGGGGGGATGGTCATGCCGCAATCCCTTCTCCTCCATTCTCCTCTCGGGATCTTGGGCACGCACGCACACAAGCCTGGCGTGTTTTAAGCCACCGGGTCCGGGGATGTGAACCGCGGTTGACTACATGGGAGTCCAGCAACATAACCATTACGCTAACTGCTGGTCCCGTCATTCTGAATTTCTAAATATCACATTGGAAACGGAGTGTGTGCAGTATTTTTTTTTTCAAATTATCTTTTAGACATGACTAAATGAAAAGCAACTACAGCTCCATAAAGCAATAGTGGAATTAAACTACAATGAGATAGGAAACTAACTCCTTTAGTTGTCTTATTCAGGGGGTAAAAAAAGTAGGGAGAGAAGGACTGAAAGAACCAGAGGACACTTAGCATTTGGTTTCATCTTTAACTTGATTTGTTCTAAAGTAAGCGGCAATGAAAGAAAAAATGGGAGGTAGCTGCAAAGAAAATTAAGTTTTCACTACATCGTCACGACTGTTTCGTTACGTCCTGTACTGTAAACACTGGAGGATGTATTCTGCTAACTTTTATTTTCCGGCCCACAGACTCTCCGGTTGAAATGAACCTGGAAAACTCTCCAGACCTCTATTACCTTGGCCAAACGACACCTTTCTTTTACGGTCATTTCCAAAGATGGCAATCTACCCCGAGCTGACTCTGGACCAAACCACCTGACCAAGGTACTGAAAGCCGGAGTCTCTAAAGGCTCTGGAGTGCTAAGGGTGCCCTCTCGACTCGGCGCTCCGAAATGCTCTGAAAGTGCCCGCGCGCTCCCCGAAGCAGCGCGGAGCTGCTGAGCAGTGACCCGCGCGGCCGCCCTCCGCCA